TAAATGCGGATACCAACCCTTCTCTCTGTTCTTCCAATGTATGTGCTTTGGCACGTACATGTAAATTGGTAGACACAGGTGGTAACATGAGGTAGGTATTTGTCTAAAGATATAGGACAAACACCCATCAGTAAATAGAATTTTCCTAGTAAAATGATACATTTTAAGTATTTTAAATATTCAGTATGTTACCCAAGCTAAGTCGTCTCCTTCTACAAGCGGTGTTGGCTAACACAGAAGTTAGGGTCGGTCGAGTGAAAGCATAACAACAATTCACAAAGTCTAATACTGTTGGCTTGAGGTGGCCAGGTGCAAGATATTGTCTGAGGTCCCTGGCGTGCCAAGGATTAGTAGCTGGTGAATGCTGGTGACACTGTCCTAAAGTGTTCTCATTTGGTTCAAAGGCATTCACTCGTTTCGCTCCTCTCTACTCTCTATTTATTTATCCTTTCTTATTGTAGACTCCCATTTATTATAGTTCCCTTCTATGTATTTCTTCACTGGTTTCCCCCAACCCGAACTGCTACACTTCAGTAAAAATTTGTGCGCTTAAATTTAAATTAGTAAGTTTTTTGTTAGTGTCAGCGGAAAATTCTGGAACCAGCACCTAGTCTTCAATTGAATTCATCATCTAAATAATTCTAATTGGGTTTATTTATTATTCTAGGATCTAAATCTTTCGTCCACCATGCCTGGTTAGGAGACCTGTTGATGGGATTGAAGCTAAAACAATCATATTTTGTACTATTAGGTACTAAATAACGTTGCACTTCTTGGATCAAGATGTCGATTGACGGTCTTCTCAGCGTGTCTCCTATCCACCTTGATTTTCTTCTGAAATTGTTGAGCGACAGGCTTGTAGTTTGTTTGTTCCCAGAATTGCTTTTTGCTGATTCCTTCTGTCTGAACACCGATTTTCGTTATCAAGCTAGAGAAGACAGATGTTGATAAAAGTCCTATTTTGAGGATCCACGCCAAGTCTCTGAAGCACTGACTTGAAATTAGTGTTGAATATCTGAATCTGGCTGCTTACTCAATTACGGTAGGTTTTACATTGATTTCAGACCTGTGAATGTCTCTCTTGGCTTTACTATCAACCCTTTGATATACTCATCCGTTTTACTCGCCTGTAGTTGAGACGATGCTGACTAGGTGGGTAGCTAGAAAAGGGTACTCTCTTTATATTTCTCTCGTTGATGATGACTGATGATTGTTGCTGTTGGTTGGGTATCTTCGTGATCTTTGTCTTCTCTATGTTTAGTTGAAGTCCCCTATTAGCTGCTACTACAGCCAACTTGTTGGTTGTCACCTGTTTATCTTAGAGTTTATACGGCCTTATACATAAATCATCCGAGAAGTGTATATCTTTCAGGGTCGGTTTGTCAGAACAACTTATTTCCATCTTCTCGCTCCCCACTGTCTGTTGCACAATTTGATAGCCAACTACACAAAACAATAATCTGTGGCACTACATCAAAAATGGTTCACCTAGGTACCTTTTTAGTCCAATTAAAAAGTCGAAGTTCGTTCTTCCTGTTATCACGTGATAGCTTAGCAGGAAGCAACCATTTCTCATGTTAAAACCAAGTTTTAGGCAGAATAACAAACGTTCGTAACATATAACTTAATATTAATGTTTATTATTTTAGGTTAAAACACCTTAAACTTAAACATCAGGTGGAAGATAATGAAAGCAAAGATAAAAATATGAAATAAAAAGTCTACATAAGGAAGTCAGGAGTAGAATGTCTACCAACTACCCACGTGGTTCGTGTTCGATTTCCGGCCAACGTTTTGCTCAGACCTTACTAGCCGGTAGAAAACCCAGAAAAATAGTCGAGGGGTTAGGCATGAGGCTAGGAACTCCAACGCGTAGAAACAACACGGGCGCTACTGAAACTACAAAACCTTGAAGCTATATATTCCATTCGGAAAATAATGAATAAAAAAGGAAACAGTGCAAAGGAAGAATATTCATGGCTTAGAAATGAAATATACTTTCATATTTAAGCTGAACATAACGGATGAATTCATCAGCAATAGTGGAACAAGTATCAGTGAATGTTTCTAATCAGTTTCACTTTTAATATAAGGTATAACTGGATAAGCTAAATGTCCAAAATATGAAGATCAAAGTTCATTTTCTCTCCAGATAAGTGTAGTTTATTGATATAAACACTTTTACTTAGTTTTTAACCAGCTTCGTAGTAATTACGCAAGAATTTATTTTATCACATAATCTAGTAATTATTCCTGTAAGCGAAACATTGAAGTGTATAGATTTTGTTACTCAGTAATGAAAGCAGGCAAATTGGAATTTTGAGCCAACAATGTAATTTATTAACTTCAACTGATGTGCTTTTGAAATAAGTTAAATATATATTCAGTCCACTACAAACACCATTAGTCAGGAGTTTGGTAGTATACTGAAAAATTATGACTCAGGGATGCAGTAGTTGGATAGCAAATTGAAGAGTATTTCATTTTTACTAATCGATCTGCTAATGAGATCTACATAAATTATATTTCTAATCTTCGATTCAGTCTTACGGCTGAGATATTTACGTTATCAGTATTGCAAAGAACATATACATGAAATTGAATGAATCTTAACTTGAAGCTAGTGTCTGAAAATTTGCCTTGAATATTCTCAACCAATTTTAATCGTCTGACTTTTGTTTAGGGACAACAGTAAAATGCTAAGAAAATTAGCTGAGAGAAATTAAAAGAACCGCATTTACTATTCTAACTTGTAAATGACTTAACTGTTTGTATTAATGTCGCACAAGGACAGACTCTTAAATTGTTATTTGTTTTTATGAACAAGTGATGTATGGTTACTCATTACATTTTAGTCACAGTAAGACGAAATATTTTGTGTTTGCACAGTGTAATTCTCTGACAAGAAGAATATGCTTTTTTGAAGCAGAAGGTGATTTTTTAGGCCTGAAATAATAAGCCACATCATAAAATTCAATCCATTACTTTTATTCAATTCATCAATCGCAAGTTAAGAAACTGATTTTGTACCACATAAAATTCAGGTAAAATGTTGAAGCCAACTGTCTGAGTAGAAAGAGCAGGCCTTTTATGTCTCTGAACGCATCACTTGGTGACGCGGTTTCAATTCTATGAGAGGACATCATTTCTTAATCGTGCCTAGTTTACTGGCTGGTCTCAAGCCTGAACGTATAAAAAACGTCAAGTATAGAACTATCGATCTCACCTGAGGAAATCCTCTCACTAACTACAGAAAATTCACTGCACAAAAAGAATCACAAAAATAAACTTATACTTCTCTGGACTCCTAGAGGAAAAGTAGCATGAGCTAATAAAAACCCTCGGACAACGATTCAGCTGATGTTTCCTCTTGATAAAAGCAAAAACTAAGCATGGGGACATGGAATCTCTGTACAGCGTTTGAAGCTGAGAAAGCTACTCAGACCTCAAAGGAAATGAGATATGGTACAAAAGTGACAGGCGTCTGTGAGAGAAAATGGAATGAATTAGACTCTGTCAAAAATGCAGGAGGAAAATTCACTACTTTGAAATCAATGTAGAAATGTACTGCACTCAGAACATAGAACAAGATTCTAATTCTCAACACTAGCGTCGAACCGGTGCTTCTGGATGTTGTGGAGACTTCTCGCACACATTACCATAAAGATTTCCACCAGCTTAATGCGGACTTTTTCAACCACTGCCTCCGTTGACAAGACATTGAATACATCACATAGTAAGCTAGCGAGAATGAGCAACAATGTCGTGAACCAACCAAGGGCCTATCTTCCAAAAAAGACGCGAAAGCAAATGGAGATGGAATGAATATACTTTGAGGAGACATAGGAGTGAAATCACACTTCAGGCCTGAAGTGGAGCCCTAACGGGAAACGATGGGTTGAGCATGTGCGCAAAAGTGACACATTGGAGAGTGTATTGATGGAGGATATGACAGCTTACGCGCAATGGCATATACGGCTAAAATAAACTGCAGAGAACAGTGTAAAATGACAATGCGTTGGTTAAACCCTTTGTTCACTTGGACGTTGAGGGAATAATAATAATGAGTGCAGCAAAACAATTTTTATGTTTTCACCAGACAAGAAAGCCATTTTGCAAATTACTTCTCGTGATATAAATCATCAATATCGTAACTATTAATGATAGTGGCTGAATATGGCATATTTACTACTTTTACACAGGGAAACTAACACCTTTGTTATATCTTAACTATTTTGTCAGTCTCCAAGTTTCTCCATTTTATACAACCTATGGTAGTTTCCTTGAAAATCCACCCCAATTCTCATCTAAAGGATTGTAATTTATCTCCCCAAAAATAGATAGTACTATTTTATTATCAGAATTACGCAACACTGATTCACTAAAAGAATAATTAAAAGTAGTCCAATAATTTACTGTTTAGATAGATATAATTCCTGTTATAAAGTATCTGACTCAAATTTTATTCATATTTTTCCACTTTTATCCAATGATGAGAATCAGAATCGAGATTATCCAAAGAAGAAATAGGAGGAAACACAAGATAGGAGCTTTTAACGTTAAACTTTGATCGAAATTTCCAAGTCATCAGCATTTGACAGAACAAGGAATTCGCCAACCCGTATACTAAGTTTATAATTGTATTTATCACTGAGTCTTCGCTGTTTAGGAGGAAAAAATGTGTACCAGTTGAAATGGCAAGTAGTTGTCAATTCCAGGTGCTTTTGATTGTGATATTCGAAAGCACTGTATTTTTACCTACCCCACTTAGCGTATGCTTTTCCTTAGTGGCTGTTAACAGAATGTCTTGACATAAAGCTAATAGTAGTACTGAAATTCGCTATACACATTGTTACACTACGATTAAAATCACGCATATTCGTTACGAATACGTTTGTCTATTTGAGTTTAGGTCTTATTAAATTTTAAAAAGTAATCAAATGACGTCATATACTTGACATATTTTATTTAAAAGTTTCGTTTCAAAAGAAAATATTTACCTCCGTTGGCTTTTGACTTGAAGTAGATTCTGTTATGAATTCAATTTGGCCAAAAGCATTCGTTGGGCCGATTACCTTTAAACAGAGCTTATCGGACCATTCCTTTATTTCTGCTACCAGGCTACTTTCTAAAGTTTACTATAAATTTAGGAACCATATTTCTCACCATATGCATAGTGATTTTCTTCATATTCCCCACAAAAACATCTAGAATTCAAAAGATATATTTTATTTGCCTGCTAACCGGTTACTGGGTGAATTTTCAGTTGCATACTGAGGATCTGGAATAAATTTTATACACTCTTTAAATGTGAAATGCTTTAAAATAAAATTGTTCTTTTTCTGAAACAAAAATGGTCGCTAATTAAGTTTTGTTACCAACTTCTTTCAGGTCTCTGGCGTTTTCTTCTCCCCTACCATACTTCTTAACTGTGGATCTCGTCTTGTCAGGCATGGTAGCAGAAATACATAGTTTTATCGAAATCGTTTCAAGGTCTCTGAGCAAGAACTATAAAACAAATCCAATAAGCAATATCGCTTACACAGACCTGTGCAAACTAAATTGGTTTCTTTGTGATTAGTTCGTGATTGTAAGATAAAGGTTACTAGTTTTTGATGGGCGTCTGCGTGGTGCATTGCTACACTCGACTGTCCAAGAGGATTGGTGTTGGGATTGTCTGTATGTTGTTTGTAGTATGCATCGTATTAATAACGCGTAACTGCATCGAACGGAGTTGATCCCTTCATCTATTAGTAGTCCTGTATGGTCTAAAAGAGAGATAATAATAGCAGATTTAGTTGATGTACACTGTGTAGACTTAAAAACGAGAAGAAAAACGCACAAACACATCGATGATAAGATTCGAAATTAAATCTGCATATATATGTATAAATTCATAAAACAAGTTAATAAGCAGACGAAGTAGTCAGAAGGGTAAGACAAGGGAAAATTGGCGATAGCGAAAGGTATAAGACCACTAATAGTGTGTGGGAGTTTGAAAGGAATAGTCTGTTTTGACACTATCCTTTCTTCGCTGCATGGTTGCCCGGATTCCTCTTTAGGCTTTCCATGGACAGTGCGATAGCTACATCTTCTGTTGACAGAGATTTCTAGTTTCGGCAAATCAAATAGAAAACGAACGTTGTGGACTCCAGTCTTGGCTCTATGACGCTCAACCCTTCGATTGCCACCAGGATACCCATACTTACTTAATGGCAGAGTACCTTTGCTTGGGTGATTCAGGTCTTTTGTTTTCTTAAAGACAGTGATCAAATCACACCTAAACCGACGGCATCTCCTCGGCAAAGAGTAGCTGTAACCCCAGAGCTGGACCTCAGTGCTGGATCACCCTCCTTATTGAAGATCAGAACCCTCGACTCTCGGTGCTGTAGTCAGAGACGTTACCACTGCCGAGGTATCATTCATTGACAACTCCACAGATGAAAAGAAGAACAAGGATAAGTTCTGACTTCTACCAATATCAAATATATGTGAGTACATGCTCCTACAGGGGAAGTGGTGCATCCAACCTATCATCCGAACTCGAGGGGAGCTACCCTACGCAGTCGATTAATCTTTAGATGTGCCGTTGATTGATGCTGGGTGGAGGCAGTACTCTAACTCAGACCAGTGGAAGTTAGAGTTCATGTCCCACTGAATTTGAACTTCTTTGCCAGAATGCAACACCTACCCACTGCTACATACTGTCGGATGAATCACCGATATCCAGGGAACATTAACTAACTCCTAGTGAATCTATCTTCCGAATTTGTAAACTACGTAGTATTTAGTTTATTGGTGACTAAAAATGTTGTATTCAAGGCAACAAAAGCATGGAAATTACAGCCAACGACGTCGGAGAAGTCTGTTGGTGTCTTACTGTGAACACTTGATAGCTAAATAGCACTATATTCATTACCACGATTCGAAGAAAGCTTCCCACACGTCGATAAGTATATTTCAAAGATTTTCCATCAGTATAAATAAGAGTTCTGTTATGTAGGATATTTGCTTGACGAAAACATTCTTCTGACAGTTGGTGCCTTCTTGTCAATCCATTATGAGAAAAATGTGTTTTCGGCACAAGAAGACGTTTGCTGTATGCCGGACTACGTGAAACACTCATATTGCCTGTGTGTGGAGCCTTATCGTACCCTCAAGTTTCTCAGACTGAGTTAAGTGGAGTGGGATTCCAAACTGGAACCTGTTAGTTGCAGGTGCTCATACCAGAAAGACCACACCAACTGGACGGTTCTCCTTTCAAAGAGAACATGGATGGTTACGGAAATATATGTTTCAAGAAATCACCATAGATCACCTCAAGACAACATTCATATCTCCATGATGACTCCACATTGAAATAAGATTGAGTCTTCACTCTAGTTGAACCTTGAATATGCTAATACCTATTCTAGGGGCAGGCAAAGGAGACCTCGCCACACTCTACCAAACAACTAGGAACCTTTCGGGCAAAAGTTCGACACAGATTAAGCCAATAAAGGACGACAATGGAAAGTCAATCACCAAAGAGGTGGAACAGAGAAAGCACTGGGTTGAACACTTCAAAAGACTTCTAAATCGTCCGCCACCTACAACACGTCCAGCAATACCAACAACGGAAGCAGAACTACCAGTGAACACTGACCCCCCGACGAAATCAGAAGTCCTGAGTGCAATCAAGATGCTTAAAGCTGGGAAAACACCGGGACCAGATGGAATCTCAGCAGAAGCTTTGAAAATAGACCCAGAGACAACAGCGGACTTGATGACACCACTACTGGAGAAGGTGTGGAAAGAGGGCAAAGTACCCGAGGATTGGAAGAACAGTTACTTATTCAAACTTACGAAGAAAGGAGACTTAAGTCAATGTAAAAACTGGCGTGGAATTATGCTTCTGTCCATTCCAAGCAAGATACTAAGTCGCATCATCCTGGGGAGAATCAAACAAGCCTAGATGAAAAATTTCGTCCAGAACAGGCTGGATTCAGGAGAAACAAATCATGTATTGATCAAATCGCCACTCTACGGATCATCATTGAACGAAGCTTGGAATGGCAGTCACCTCTCTATCTCAACTTCATCGACTTTGAAAAGGCCTTCGACAGCGTCGATCGAGAGGTCATTTGGAAACTACTTCGCTACTACGGGGTCCCATCGACAATTATACACCTCATCCAACAGTTATACGACAATGCTGCATGCCAAGTAATCCACAACGGGAAACTCACGGAAGCCTTCGAAGTGAGGACGGGAGTGAGGCAAGGCTGTCTACTATCACCAATGATCTTCCTGATTGCAATTGATTGGATAATGCGACAGACAACGGCAACCAACAAGGGAACAGGCATAAAATGGACTGACACAAAAGACTTGGAGGATCTGGATTTCGCCGATGATATATGTCTGATTTCCCATAAACTGGAAGATATGCAAATGAAAAGTAACAAGTTGGCAGAAGAAGCATCAAAGATAGGACTTCACGTGAACATAGATAAAACAGAGATGATGAAGATTCCTTGCCAACATCAACAGCAACAACAGACCACAATAAGCATAAATGGGAAGAACCTGAAAGAAACAACCTCCTTCACCTACCTGGGAAGCATCGTCTCAACTACAGGCGGAACTGACGAGGACATCAAAGCCAGAATCGGAAAAGCAAGACAAGCTTTCATTACTCTCAAATCTGTGTGGAGGTCAACAGCAATCAGCATCAAAAATAAGATCCGGATTTTCAACTCCAATGTGAAGTCAGTGCTACTATACGGATCAGAGACTTGGCGAGTCATAAAGAGCATCTCAAACAAACTTCAAACCTTCATTAACAACTGTCTCCGCTCAATACTCAAGATCAGATGGCCAGAAAAGATCAGCAACAGGGATCTCTGGGAGCGAACCAATCAGGAACCGATTGTGAAACAAATAGGCAGAAAGAAATGGAGATGGATTGGCCATACGCTGAGGAAACCATCAAGTGACATCACTAGACAAGCCATCGAGTGGAACCCGAAAGGGAGGCGGCGAGTTGGTCGTCCAAGGGTGACTTGGAGGAGGTCATGCGAGGAGGAGATGAAAGCATGTGGACAGACCTGGAGCAGGGTGAAAAAGTTGTCAGAAAACCGAAGTCAATGGAGGTGCGCAGCTGAAGCCCTATGTTCCTCTAGGAACTAAAGGATACAATAATAATAATAATAATAATATATTCTAGGGGATGAATTTTAGCGAAAGCTCGAAAAGTAATGATATTTGTGAGTTGTCAGAACAGATCATGTCTAATGGTTGGGCTCTCATGGGTGCCAGACAGTCAATAATATAATGAGTGATCAACGACTGAAAGTGGGCAACGAAAGGGTTTTGAATTCTTAACAGATGCTATTACTTTTGAAACAAAACATATCAGACTTAAGTTTTCCTAAGTAAATTGATTCATTTTATCAAGGATTTCATCGAAAATCAGTTAATAATAATAGTATATTCTCATTTTGTACATGAGGGACGCCAGTTTACAGGCATCATCAATATGATAAATTACATATACAATTAGCAATCATACTTAATAATAATGTTTTAATAAAATACATATTTTTCCTACCTGTGTAGGACACACCAAATGTACAGGCATGGATAAGCATTATTTAAATTTCATAAATTTGGTTTATGGTTAAATTACATGGTTGCTGACGTTTTTGTCTTTGGTTTGTGGAAACAATATGATAACTAGTCATTCGATGGAGCACATCAAGAAATATAGAAATATTGTCTTTGCACTAACGAAAAATCCCAAGTATGTTTTGGATGGATTAAAAATACTTGGGAAAAAATATATCTTGAAGTAATTCCACAATATAACTTAGGTGTGTACAAATCCGAATCTCATTTTTGAATTATATCCAAATTGGGTAACAAGAAAGCTATTCTTACAGATACTATCAGTTATGTTATAAGTTACAATCGTGACGTTGTATTACAAATTAATACTTTTCCATTGGTATAAGAGTATATTCCACAAATGTAATCCAGGTTGCGTCGTGGGGAAAGTTAATTCGTTATTAACCAGGCAACTGAAAGATATGGGACCAATAATGTTTGCAGATCATTTGTTGAAGAATCGCTGGAGATAAGGAAGTACAGGACACCTGCCTTGCCATGATTTCAGACCCTCCAGCAGTGCGCACCCATGAACCATTCGAGATAGAACCAGCCCCCCTGGTTATGAGACCGACGCAGTGACCACTCAGCCAGTGAGTTGTAGTTCAGTGACATCCCGTAGAACTGTCACCTTTTCTTCAGTCTCTATAATTTGTCGGTTAAGAAAGAACTTTAAGTGAACATTGAGAAGAGAGGGAGGATCAGGATACCCCCACTCCATCAACAAGCATTATTCACCATAAGCAAGATAAATCCAAATGAGGTAGCCTTTTTCACCTTAGTGACTAGAGGGACATGTTTTCAAC